TTTTGTAATTTTTATCGGCGCGTTTTCGGACCTTTCCTTAAACTTTCTAGGCAAAAATACGAATCGAATGACACCTTGGTCGTAATTTTTGGACAGGGCTGGAAAAAGTCACCAAAAAGAGCTAAATCGAGTACATGTGAACCAGACTATTATATGTGGAGACATATCTTCCAAATTTCACTTTCTTACAAACGAATTCGTTTGTTTCATGTCGTTTTGTGTTGGTGTTGTCTCGGAAATTTGGTTGCTGCAATGTTTTTTTATTTTTTTAATGTATCTTATATGTCTGATAGCTTCAAAATAGTAATATTATCAACATGAAAAAACTACTTTTCGAGCCCTGAAGAAGATTTATATAAATTCGAAACGTCGACAAGAAAACAATTGTTGTTTTAAGAAAAAATTGATCCTGTTACCCAGCCCACCTTCTTTCAGAAAAATATTTGGATCACGAAACTAGTTAATTGTGTTAATAAGTTTCAATATTGATTTTTGTCAAGTATCGGCCAGTTCTATTCAATTATTACAAAAAATAATACATCACAGTGTTTCAATATTTTTTATTATTTGAATTTTAACATTTCAGGTGTTTTGAAGTTTGACCTCAACGAAGCAGGTTTTATGTCCTGCTTACCATATTTGGGAAATTCCATTTCAGTTCCGATTGCCGGGTATTTAGCTGATTTGTGCATTGTGAGAAGCTCTTTCAGTACGACCCAAATCAGAAAAGCATTCAACTGTGGCGGATTTTTAGGTCAAACAGTGTTTTTATTAACACCGATTTTTCTTTGGGAGCCTACAGGAACAGTGATTTGTATCACTGTTGCTCAAAGTTTGGGTGCTTTTGCGATGGCAGGATTCAAGTACGTTTTTTCGCAAATCACCTTAAATAATGCTACAGTTTTTCCATATTTCCAGCGTGAATCATTTGGATTTAGGACCTCAGTACGCTAGTATTCTGATGGGCATCGCTAATACATTTGGAACCGTTCCAGGCATTATTAGCCCAATTGTAGCAGGATACATTGTTACAGATGAAGTGAGTTTTATAACTGACTAGTTGTTGCCCGCGGCTTCGCCCGTGTAGAATTTGGTAGTTATAGTACTATGTTGCTGTATTGCTGCTGTTCCAATGTTTTGACAGAATCGGAATCAACGAACTTAGGCGTGCGCAACATTATAGAACAGTGTTTTCAAAAAATTGTTCTGTAGCGCCATCTAGTGACGAGTTACAGAAAAATTAATAGCCTAAAAACCTTCTCTATGAAAAATCACTTATACATATGTCAAGTTTCATCACGATCGGTTGAGCGATGTAGAACTTTATCACTTACCAACCAACCAACCAACAAACATTCATTTTTATATATTAGACTAGTACTATGTTGCTGTATTGCTGCTATTCCAATGTTTTGACAGAATCAGAATCAACGAACTTAGGCGTGCGCAGCGTTATAGAACAGTGCTTTCAAAAAATTGTTCTACAGCGCCATCTAGTGGCGAGTTACAGAAAAATTGAGAGCCTAAAAACCTTCTCTATGAAAAATTACTTATACATGTCAAGTTTCATCACGATCGGTTGAGCGATGTGGAAGTTTATCACTTACCAACAAACCAACCAACCAACAAACATCTATTTTTATATAGTAGATTTTCGAATTTAATGAAGAAATGCATATAGATGAGTATCACTACAAGGATAACATTTTGTGACAGAGCTTTGAGAGTTCTTCTAATATCAATGTAACAATAGAAAAATAGTATTTGAAAAGGTGTCTCAATGAGAAGTAATTATAAGTATACAGGGTGTTAATTGAGTATGTACCATAAATTCAACAGACGATTCTTCAGGTAATTTTAAGACAAAATTTTCATACAAACATGGGTCCGCAAATCCTTCGTTCTCAAGATACAGGGTGTTGAAATAAAAAAAAAGTTATTCGTAAATATCTTAAATATCCTTTACCTAATTTTGTTGTAATTTGGCAATGGTATTCATAACATTAAGGAGCTAATTTAGCCCTAACGTGATTTAATTTATTAGGTCCAGTGGCGTCTCGTGCGGGATTTGAACGAATATTTTTAACTTAAAAATGTACGCCACTGACTTTTTTGCAATTTTTATTATTTCTTTGGATTAAGCAATTAGAAATACAACTTTTTGTCTCATGAATTTTACGCGGTAAATTAAGAAGAAATCCAGGTTTCCTAAGTCGAATATTGTTTACAGATAAAGCTTGTTTTTCTCGCAATTCGATTATTAACTTCCACAACAATCACATCTTCACTCACTCAAATCGACGGCCGTGTTGGTCGCTGGTTCAAGCCCCAGGCTGAACGATCGATTTTCACTTGCTATCGTGCAACCCGTGTTAGGAATCACATGTTAAAAGGTAAGACCTCGTTAATCCTTAGCTCGCACAAGTTTCGACTTCTGAGGGTTGTCGTTCGTAGGGGTGCGACAGCTGGTTAACGGAAAAACAGATTTTAAACAGAATTAAATGCATGGTATAATGTGAAATTTTCTGCCCAGAGAATTTTTCAATACTACCTTGACATCAAAATATCCGAACACGGGAATTCACCAACAACCACGAGGGTAACCTTAGTGAGCTTTTATGAACACAATTTCTGGACTAAAAAATAACTATATGGAGAAACAACAGAAAACTTTGAAGATGCCCTAAAAGAACTAGTAGAAGTATGATAGACCCCTTACAATAATTTGGTTTTAACGGTTGTAAGGGGATTATTCATTCAAGTGTATCATTATAAGCTCCAAACCTCTTGGTGAGGTTTGAATTTGTTTAACCTTTTTTCGAAAAGGTTAATTCGAAACAGATTGATCTTTGGATATATTCCAAAATAATGCAAGAAATCTGTTGTGGTACTGTCATTGTCTTCTCGGCCTATCAGCCGCTCATTTTTTCAAGATATTGGAGCAGATTATAAATTATTTCATAAAAAACGTATCTGTAGCAGATAAACTTCTGCCTATTGGAAACCTGTTACATGGTCGCTGGTAATAATAAAGTTGTACGTTCTGGGGTTCACCATTGAAGTTATGCCGATTAACACTTCACTAAGAGAAACCATCCCAGAACTTGTGCAACGGAAGTTTGCAAAAGGGAGACTTACTATCAATGTTGACGAAACAATACTGATTCCATTCACCATGAAGCAGAAAGTATGTACTTGACGCCTCAACCTTGAGTAAAACTCAGGTTTTCTTGCCAATCACAAGGATAATTTCTACGTACCCTAGAGTATTCTAGAGACAATTCTGATTCTTCCACCTCACAGGTTTGCGTAATGAACAAAATAGCAAGCAGCACCTTCAGTATTCACCAAACAACTTACATGGAATCATGAAATATGTGTGGATACTTGTAGATTCTGGGTCTTATGTCACTAGACTCACGTAGACATTTCTAAGTGTTATGCCAGCTAGGCTTCATTTTGAGGTTGAATTTCAAGTTTTTTGAAAATCTCCAAACAGGCTCATCGTTAGAACGGAGGGAAAATGAATTGATATAGGGGTCCAAGATGGAAGAGTTGGTTTGCAAGTAGCCCTTGGAAGTAACATTTCCATTTTTGAGGTACTTCTGAGTGTAAACTAACATGGGACTACAAAATCTCCCTGAGACAACTGGCAGAGAGATGCCAAGTGGGTGCCAGATTACAAGGGATTGGAAGAAAATGAGGACGCTGTTACTCTCAAGAAGGAGAACGCCAATACTCCATTTTGTGGAAAAAGTAGAAACTGTGATTTACTTATCGTCAAAGAAAACTGAACAGCTTCTACTGTTGAACAAAAAAGACCTGATATTAGTGACAGAACTTTTTGCAGGACACTACTCACTGAGATATCATCTCCGTGAAATTGGCAGATCCTCTAGTAATAGTTTCCGCTATTGTGGTATAAAATAATCAGCCATGCCAAAAGTCCCAGCATTCTGGAACCCGGATATATCAGTTTTATGTATAAAATAACAGTAATGCGAAACTGTGGAAGGCGTTGCGATCTATTAAATGCACAATATATAATCTCATGACAAATACAAGTAAAAAAAAACTGATATTTTCAATTTTTATATGAATAATTTGAGCACTATACAGTGCGGACGAAAAAAATCTCACTACCACTCTTAACTTCAACTAAAAATTTAGGTAAAAATACTTTTTGATGAAAGCAATACCTTTTTTTTCGCAGAGAAGGCACAATCAATTTTATTTTCGAAGAAAAATAGTGTTTGTGAACCTCGTTCAAAAGGAATCGTAATTCTATATCCAACAATATTTCATTTTTTGAAATTTATTCAGCTATTCCTGAGTAATTAGCAGTTTCATATTCGTTCCAAGAATTTGCAAACAAACGATAAATATAATAATTTTAAGTTAAAGTATTTTACTATAGTTAAGAAATATATTAAAGAAGAAAGTAAAGTAATATAAATCACGAAATTATGAAACAACAATAAAAATTAATTGGGGCTCCGGGCCGACTTCATTGATTCCAGTAGCGCATTCGCTTTTTTTTTCAGCTACAGGAAAACCCGGGAAAACCTGCAACACCACATCATCTAAAGATCTTGATCTGCCAATGTCCTCTCTTTTATAAAACAAAATGTAGGGTGTCTCCAGAGGCTCCAATAAATTCAAGACATCGCCAGAACACTTAGTGGCACGACTATCATCAAACTTAAACCAGTCCGTTTCGTCTTTGGCCAATGCGTAATAATGACCAGATTCAAATCCAGAACCACAGTGAACAATGACTGCATGAAGATTATAATAGTGGTCTGCTAGATTGAAGTGTTCATCTATTTCTAACCTTCGAGAGAGTTTGGGCCTCCGTCAGACATTGAGTCATATTTGGAGATCATCAGTGTTATGATTAGATTGACTGGTGCCTCACTATACTTGTTTTCTCATAATAATCAGTTAGCTTGGCGCATGTTTGGCAGTACAGTTCCATTTTCAGATGGTTTAACAATGAGCTTTGTACGGACTGGTTATCAGTCATCGTAGGAAACGCCAGTTTATTTCATTGGATGCTCGAAATGTTAACCATTAACTCACTGAAAATAATTAATTTATGAGATTATGAAATATCTTCTGTGTTAGGATCCCCTCTTATTTAATCCATGAGTTGTGGAATATAATATGGTTGTATAACGTATAGTGGGTCATTCTAAGGGACTACGTTTGCCTATCCTCTTATTTGGATAATCGCGATCTAGACACCTTCGAACCAGCCTGTCGTATTGAGAAAGTAGCTTATCCTACTTAAACGTAACTAGCTGGAAACTCAGTTGGGTTTATAAATTATCCGAACTGGTGAATAAGCAAACCTGATCCCTGAGAATGGCCTACTCTATTGCCTGATATGACACGTTTAGATGTGTTCGAGGGATAAGTGACATCTTAAGTGTACGGTACACAATCACAGTACATTTGAAAACTCGCGGATAAAAAAAGCGATTTCAACGAAATTACACCAGAAACATTACATAATGTAGGGAATCAATTTGATACAGAATTGAAATACCTATCAAATTTAGTATCACAAAACCCCCGGTAACGCCCTTTCGGTGACATGTATTGCACTATTGTAGTAAACACTATTGTTTTTCTAATCTTAAGTACTAAAAATTATACTTTTCAAGTGAATTTTGTACAATCTTGATAACTTTCTCGTTCAAAAATGAAGGGGTGTGGGAGATTCTTACGTTCTCACTGCATAAGTAAGAATTAATTTTTATTCCGAACCAAACAAAAATCCATTCCATAACCTTCTATTTCAAATTATCTCAAGGAACAAATAGTTCAGGTCAGTCTCAACTCACCTACACTGTAGGTTTTTGGACTGATACCTATCAGAGAACAACTACTCCCCTGGCTAATACCACGCAAGGCGTTGGCTTTCATCCGACAAGTGTCAGTGCAGGATTCTTCACTGAGGTTATTTCTGCATATGTTGTTGGCGATACAACTGCCGGAATCGATTCTCAATTATTGGAACACACTTGCAGACCGGTTACGGGCTGTCAGTGTAAGTTAGTGTCTATCGTCAACATGAAGTCGATGATTTCCCATAATTGAAAATCGAATTCCTTTCAGAGTATCATTCCTCGAACAAGGCTGAAACGAACGACAAATAACATGTTTGTCATCGCCCCATCTGCCCATAAATGAGGTAACCAACCGCATATCCGAATTCGCCCAATTCCTCGTATAAGGCATAAAACTTCACTGGCCTGAACGAATTTTTCTTTTGGATAATTTGATTTACATCCAGTCTCCAAGTACGCTTACTCATTTTGTGTTCTATTTATGTTTTCAGAATCGCGTATATCAATGGAGAATTATTTTTTACGTATCTTCGGCCGTATACTTGTTTGGAGCGATAATGTATGGTACTTTTGCCTCTTGCGAACTTCAGCCGTGGGCTACAAAAGTGGAATATTCTAGAAGCAACAACAACAAGCATGAATCTATTGAAAAACAAGGAGGAAGCTACGAAAATGAAAGTTTTCAAAAAGAGATTGAATAAAGTTATGGAATATCTACAAAATTTGTTACCAGATAATTCTATATCCACAACAGCGACAAAAAAGTTAATTTACTTGTTTTACGACTAGTTGAACTAATTCAGAAAATATTTTTCTGACATATTCCGTATTTTATTTTCATTGTGCGAAATGTAATTATTATTGTAATTATTGAATTATTATTGTAATTATTACTTCTGAAATGGTTTTTATTTCAACACAGAAAGACAAAAAATGATGTATCATCCAGTCCAGTCAAAAGTAAAACAGTTTGGCTTTCAGAAAATGTCTGCTCTTTTTCTGTTCTGCCTTGCGAAGTTTAATGAAACTACAGTTCAAATTGGTCCCTTGTATATTTAACAAACGAATCATAAAACGATCAGTTTTCAAAATACCACTATCATTTTTTTGTATGTTCAACAAGAAATTAGATATTAACAGCATTCATATATGATTTGGTTCATTTCTATTTTTATTGCATTTTTCTCCATAAGATCTTAGATATCTAGTAAAAACTCGATGGAGTATCTTTCCATTTGACTTTTCGATTTTATCGATAATTCAATGGGATTTTATTCTGCCTATCTTGGCTGTACTATTGAATTGGATTTTCCTGATTTCAATCAGATCCAATAAATAGGTTATGTTGTTCTTCTACTTGAACGTATCCAGTATTACCAAAAACCCACTGAACTAGAGTCAATATCTCCCATTCTTGCACCGTTTCTTAACATAACTTGCTGGCACCTTGTAGTCACACTGGTAAACGTCTGGAATTTCCATTTGGACGAACTCGTTGAACACCATTTCCACTGTGTTACAACCGAATAACTGTTTTTCATACTCGATGAGTTGCTTGAAAAATCCGCAGTTCGGTTTTATCCTAGGTCTTCGGAGTTTCACGTAATTGTATGCTTCAAGAAGGGATAATTTTTGATATTTCATAAGGTAGGCCAGACAAATACTTGCAGATCTGCTAACACCCGCTACGCAGTATACCAAAGTCTTTCCACCGAGACTTGAAACCTGAAACAAATTTAAAAATATAGAGTCTAAAATTCAGAAATAACTTGAAATGAAGATGAGGGTCATGGAGTTGAAGAGATTTCCCGAAAAATGATTTGCCAACTATTTTTATCAAACTTGGAAATAGTTTAATTCCGACGTGAATATTAACCTTTGTGAGGAATCATTGCACAGTCCCTTGGAAAAATTAAATTGTGGTTATAGATAATATAATTAAGATTAATATTACAGTAAAGTATGACAAAGCTTGGTCGTATAATTAGAGATATTGCATTTTTTTCAAGGACAAAACACAAGCAGTACAGGAAAATCCTTAGAGCGCTCTCAGAGCGGTGCCTGTGCGAAAGTAGCGATTCACATTGGATTTGAATAGCTGGAAGTTAAATCCATTCGGAAAAACGTTCTCAGGAAGTTTATCCAACATTAACGCAGTTCTCCAGATGGAAGAGTCCTTAAACAGTGAAGTTCGAGGTGTACTGAGTTGAACCTCAAAACGATGAGGTTCTGATATGTACCGCTCTTGGTGGAATCAAATGTGCCAAGTCACTTGAACACCTCTCGTGAAAGTATCTATAGAAGACGGACAAATCTCCAACCTTTCTTTGATGTTCTAGGTTATCAAGATTGCACGTGATGATCGCATCTCCAATCAGGCGGATGGCTCTTTTCTCTATGGAATCCAGCAGAAAGCAAAATTGTCTGACCTGACTTTATTAATAACCGGTTCGGAGACATTTATTTTCTTGAAGAAAACCGATGTCTGGGTTTTTGTAGCATTGAATTCAACCTGGTTACTTGACCCCAATTTGAAATCACTGCTATATCCTCGTTAAGATATGCAACCTCCTGCTGGTGGTGAAGATGTGCCTTCGTAGCCGACGTCCTGGAATCCAAATGGAATGACGAGACAAGTGTGCTGTCGTCAGCAAAGCAATATATTGGATTCTTGGTTTTTTCCAATAATTCGCTGATATACAATAAAAGTAGGGTTGGAGACAATATGGATCCCTGCGGAACACCAGCGTTGATGGTGAAAGTATTCGAGAGATATTCATCGATGGCCACTCGCAGGGCCACTCGCAGGAAGCTGAAGAGCCATACACAAAAAGGACCCGACAAGCCATAGCATCAAAGTTTGGCCAGCAAACCCTCATGGCACACAGGGTCAAAGGCCTTATGTGATTAACATATGAAATATCTGAACATTATTTGAAATAAATGAGCTACCGAACTAAAAAAAATCGTTTTGAGTTGTATTTATATAACTGAGAAGAATGGGGGAATTGAAATAGAAGTATTGATGCATAAAAGAAAAAACTCGAAATGGAAATCAAACACAACTATGAGTATGAAGCAGTGTGGTTCTTAACTCAAGGACTGAGACATTTTAGCCAAAACCAGAAATTACACTTCATCTACATATCAATCAGATATTCTAATAACCAATTTTTGTATTTGATTGTCCAAATTCTATGGTTGAGAACATGGAAAAGTGTTCATTTGACCCCTGTTCCATTCATTCATTAAGAACGATATTTAATTGTCTGGAACAAATCGTTGCTTTTCAAATTTTGAGCTCACAAACTCTTGTTTCGATCTTGGCTACCCAGGCTCTGCTGCTCTACAAAAGTGATGAAATGTTGATCAAGAGAGCTTTTATAATTTACCCAAGTTGATAGGAAGAATGGGAACCTCTAGCGAAAAACAAATCCAAAGAAAACACTTTCTCCATACACCAAAACTAACCAAGATAAAATCATTGAGAGGTGCCTAAAAAGATCTGGTAAGGTAAGTACATCCCATTTCTATGCCGCCATTTCATATTATGTTGCTTGTTATCTTGTAACCGTCATCGTAGTTATGAAACAAATATTGTTATTACTATTAGAGATTTGGTTTTCAACAAACAAATTTATAATGACATTCATTATACTTTCTGAAAAACATCTGTTGGCATGATCTTATCTGTGCAATCTGTACATCTGAATGCAAGTACTTAGGTATTTAGAAATTGTCTGAGTGCCAACTTTACGTGAGTTATTTTGTGATGATTAATTCCCTTGAAAAAAAACAAGTCGACAGTCAACACGTGTGTAAATTATCTAATAAGTATACCTGGTATTTTTTTAGCACTTTTAAGTTGTCTGTCTATCGACAGGAAATATGATATGGATGTCCAGTGTCGAGACAAAATCGAACAAGAAATGGAATCGAGGTAGTAAACGTAATTATTTCAGTGACCTCTGATATTTAATTTATTAGAAAACCACTAAGATTAGATCGATTTAGGCCTGTATTTCGGAAAGTTGACATACCCAGCTGTAAATTTGTATAAACTTTGTATTTTGGCATTATTTATTTAGGCAGTACATTGTATTTTTTCTGTTTTGAATAGAACCAGATTTTACCTTTTCAATGATGTATCACGAGATATCATTCTTTTTAGAAAAATTGGAGATATTGAAAAAAATTAATTCTTATCATAATATGCTTTGACTTTGATGTTTCTAAATTTGATATCAATTTGTTACACTCAATGACATTTTGTAATTGTACAAGTTTTTGAATTTTTGTCGAAAAATGGTTTTCACTAATGAAGAAAAGAGAGATATGATACTAATTTATTACAAATACGATAGTAACAGTGTTTGGAAATCGGAAATGTATTTGAACTTGTATCCCGAAAGACGACAACCACATCGAACTGTGTTCAAGTTATTGGATCAAAATCTCACCGAGTTTGGTTCATTTGAAAAGCTGAGGAAAAAATACGGATATCCGGATATCTCCGGATATACTCGGAATTTCAGAACTTTCTCAACGACACCATCTTCGTATCTCTCATAGTTTTCGAGATTCCAATGGTGAGGATCGAATTTGAAACAACCTGTATACAGGGTGTGCATAAACAGTCCATTTCAAAATTCAATATACGATCTGTGGCACTGGTCTCATTTCTCTCCATTTTCCTTTCGATAATTATTTAGCAAATTGCATTCAGAATATAAAAATATTTTTATGACAGAATGTCAATAAATTCTATTTCAGAATAGTTCAGATTTCTTGAAACAATTGTAGCGAAGGACAACTATACTATATTTACAAAATAGTAGGCACTAAATTCCCAGAAATGACTGATGCTTTTGCTTTAATTTGTGACTGACAGTGGCGTACCTTCACAATAATGTTTTGGTTTTATTGCAATAATATTTCTGAGAATTTAGTGACTACTAATATGGAACTGTACTATAGTTGAATATTCGAGATGCCATTTGACACTGTTTTATTAGTATTTTCGAATATTCAAAGGCAATTCTAAAAAATCACAATAACCTAGTCTTATGCAACTGCAGAAAACTCCTTAAAATACTTAGAGGACAGTGTCTATAGAAAGTGGTGATTAACGTTAGAATTAAATCGCTGGAGATAATATACAGGCCATTTTTCAGCTGATCCCACTGTTGCTATTTTGGAAACGGTAAATACGGACCTATCCCTTTTTTCATCGATTTTTATAGCGACTGTAATAACAAATACAGCTATTATTACAATACAGGTCCGTATTAAAAAAAAAGTTGATGAAGGAATGTAATGAACGAAACGTTGCATTACAAATTGGTGTATATCAGATTATAACAAATATGAAACAGTATTGAAAGTTCCTCTGTCTATTTTTATGTCATTTGAAATTGAGGCAAATATTTCAAAAACAACCACTTATATTGTCAATCTGAAAAGAAATTATTCTATCCATCCAATGTGGAGTTGAACCCCACAAATATTTGTGAGAGAAACTAAATCATGTCACTTTCATTAAAAGTAAAATAAGACTATTTGACTGGCCAATAAACCACTGCATCCAGACAAATATGCATCTGAGTCAGGTATGCCAACGGAAACGGTTTTTTGGCAGCAAAGGAAAAGCAGAATATGCTCAAAAGAACAAAGAAGTACTTTCAGCTAGTGAGGACGTAGAATCGCCGTAGAATCGCTCAAACTTCGAGAAGAGAAACAAGCTGAGACATAAGAACCATTATAGAGAAAACAGTCGTGTTACGGGTAGCAACAAGCTTGTAACTAGTGAAATGGTATGTCTTCTGGGTCACGTTGGATGTAAAGTACACGCAAAGGAAACCAGGCTCTAAATATGACCCCGAAGAGAAGGGCTTAACATATACTCATCCAAATCATTTATGGTAGCACTTATCGAGATGACTGAGACCAAAGAACTAGCCCCTCTGAAACTTCGGGGTGATTAAGTATCTGGGTCTGATATGAACAGACAGACCACATACTTCAGAGAATTTGAAAAGGAAAGCGGAAGTAGGATTGAAGCTGTCCAAAAGTATCTATGGAAAGTCATGATAGCTGAAACCATACATGATCTATGAACAATACTCAATGGTGGTTAGACATAAGCCACTATCACTACATTTCGCGCCGTATGCCAACAAGTCTGTTTATTCAGACCGTTGACATTTTTAGTTTGTTCATTCAACGTCGTTAGCACACTCGTGGCCAGTTTTAATATGGTTTCTGCGTAAATGTCGATTTTGTAGTCCTAGAGATCTTAAAAAATAGATGTGGACCATGCAGTTTGATTTTTTTCAGTATTGCTGTTTCAATTGCAGAAGTCACGAAAGAAATACAATTTTTACTGCTGCTAGCTCTTTATCGCTAGCTACTGATAACTTATTTCATATATAAAGAAACAAAACCCAACAACAAACTGTGTTCACGAATGGTCATTTAGACCGCAACAGCAAAATTATCTTTTGAAACCACATGTTCACACAATTTTTATTGGAAAACAGCAAAAATATCAATGGATGATCTAGAGCAAAAATTTCAACAAAAATACTAACAAATACAAAATTGTCCCGTTTGCGCTGAATGTGTTAATAAATTGGACAGGGAGCAAATACTTGATTGGTTGGAAATAGCTGCGGAAGCAATGAGAATCTAGCTCTTTTACAATTTGTAATAACGGGGGAAGGAAGAATTAGTGTAGTTTTTCCAAAAAATTCACCAAGATACAAGGAATTGGGTAAAACTTAAATCACGGGATATGTGGAAAAATGACAATCAAACATATTCATGGACCACATAACACTAAAGTAACAGGGCGAAACCTCACTACAATCAGCCTTCCTCTGGTAATGCGTGGCTCTGCTAGAGTGACCAACTCTTCCCCTGCTGCTACTCGTGAGAACACACATGAATTTAACAAATACAAAAACAGACTCAGAAAAAAAAAACCAATCCCGAGGCTGGACAGAAATGCTCGCCTCAATCTATAGCGGTGGCTGGGGATGAACAGAAATGTCCACCCTAATCTACCGCTCGGAATGACGCGGAATGGCAGATCACTTCGTGATATAATACAAAGGTGTAAGCGAATTTGCGGCGCCGAAGCCGAAAAAAGGAGAAAAATAGCGATAAAAGCAGGAGTGGCAGCAACTATAAGTGCACCCTCCTTCTCCTCCAGTCCACCTCCAACAGCAAGGGCACTTCCTGCAGCTGGACCCAAGAGCTCCGCCTTGAATAAAGGCAAGGAACTGGCTGCCCCTGCAGGAAAGGGCCCTTACTTGAGAACCTCCACGGAAGTAACTCCAAGAAGATTGATGAAGCCGCACAACAACATTAATGTCGCTGCACCTTCCAAAACCTTCAAGAAGGCCGCCGTGAGACACCTCAAAATTGCCAAAGAGAGTATGTGTTCGGCTAGTATTGGCCTTCACCTGCCGATATAAAGGAGATATCTCCCAATGACTTGTCCACCTTCCTGGAAAGGACATAATGGACGATGATATTGGATCTAGGAGGACAACTCCTCGGGAGGATGTACAATGGGTCACATGCGGCCTATGTACTGTAGGTCTACACTCACCCTCCTACTCTACAGATACAGAACACCAAAGTAAACTTTCGATGAAAACTTCATGGTTGAAATCATAAACCGCGAAGAGTGAATAACGATCATTCATCTCGAAAAGATGATGTCTGAAATATCTGGAATAAAAGATGCGAAGATGTTTCACATACTTGGGAACAAACATAACCAAATTATGAATGGACTGACCAGTTACTTGATGAACATTAATAACACTATCCATGGTAACAATTAAACAATTAAACAATTTTCATGAACAATTTTTTGATTCTGGACGTGTTTAGCTAACATTGTAGCGTCATCGGTGATACCTATGGAGCTATGGTATTATCATGAATAAACATAACCAAGAAAACCTTATTGAAAGGACAGGTCTGAAAAAACAATCAAAGAACTGCTTCAACAGGAATCAGCTCAGAATAATTACAGAGCTACTCACTATCCACATCTATTTAGAGGAAACTTGAACAAAAAGGCAGCGGGCAATGCAACAAATGGATAGAGACAGCTCGTCGTGATGAAAATCACTGGTTCACATCAGGAGACAAGTAATTCATGTACAACCCAAATTATGTCCAGAAGAATGTGACAAACATTCTCCAAAAGAACTGTTTACGCCTATTTATGAAACAACATCGTTTGAATGAGTATCATGAGAAATTTGTTGAGAAAGCTATAAACAAATCAGTCGGCATGGAAAAAAAGAAACTCCTGAGCTTTTCTATTTTCTAACACAGGCAGAATACAATCTTCAACACATTATATAAATTCAATATCGTTTACATCGTACAAGCTATCAAAATAGTAGACTACGCTAGTATGAATGCCGAACGGAAGTTATTAGCGATTTCCTATCTAAATAGTGTTAATAATAGACTCACTTGATGAATGAGGTCCGCCGCCGGGTCAAAATATTGTAGTATTCTCGAGCAACCCGAATCAATGACTTCTATTTTGTGGTAGATGACTTCATCGTGCAACGGGGATTCTGGTAGCTCCGGTGCACACGAGATGATGCACGAAATGTTGAAGGAATCGAGTGTTTGTGGATTCACATTGGATGCAGATGTTAAAATTAGGCTCTCCGTCAGTTCTGAGATATTTCCAAGAGGCGTCGTCTGTCCTAATATCAGCTCCGATGATTCGGAACTGCAACAAAAAGTATGTCGTTAGAGCTCGTGAAAAATGCAAAACGGAATTGGGAATTCTTCTTGTATTCTGAAAAATGATGCCAATTTTTAGGACTAATTTTTATTAACACGCTTTTATCACCTTCACCTGTATGTATGTATGTATGTTTGTTTGTTTGTAGCTCCAGAATTATCGACATTATTGCTTGATATATTCGCGGGCAGATAGCGCTGTACGTTATGTATTTCTTCATTTGAAAAAAGTATATTGATTATTTTATTTTATTAACACGCTTTTGTTAGCTTCACCTGTATGTATGTATGTTTGTTTGTTTGTAACTCTCCATTTCATATTTATTCCCGTTTGAATACTCGCGATCTGTATTTGACAGAATTATCGACATTATTGCTTGATCTATTCGCGGGCTGCACGTAACCTCTTTTATATAATTCGAACTCACTTTACATGTATTTCGTCATTTGAAAAAAGTTTTTTTTTTATTAACACGAGCGTCTGCTGCCTTATTTTCTTTAAAAGCGTGTTTTTTATTTTCTTAAACTATATTTATAGTCATTAAGAAAATAATATTTGTTTTTTTTAATGAGTTACGGTTTTACTGCAACGTAAAATAAAACAAAAATGATCTTATCACGGATAAAACGGAAATAGGTAAATGTTAAATGGCGAAGTATAGGTCTGAAATAATTCATTGAATGGAATCATATCAGTTGATGAAGTTATATTGAAATAACTGAATGTATTAATTTTTCTATGACTATCGATAGTAGCGTCAATTAGGTGACGGTTTTCTTTTTAGGTAAGTAGGTAAAATGATCCATCTTACATTTTCGAAACAATCACAGTTGACCAGATGCCAATCACAGATGAACAAATTCCTAACTTTACAGTTGTATTTCAGTTATTTTCAATCGGAAGTAAGCCATGATAATTTTCTACTTCAAAATATGCTCACCAATAGAAAATTCAATCTTGAACTGATATTTCGTTTTGAAACGAGAACTGCTGTGAAAAAGATTTTCACAGCGGTAAAATGCATCTTCCGAACAAATGTGGAGTACCTCGAGGTTCGATCTTTGGCCAAATTTTATTCCTTCTCTATAGAAATGACTCAACTCTTATATATATAGCCACCTTATTATGGCACAATGAGGATAATGCCGCTCTGCATGAAAACATCAAAGAAATAAAAGAATGATGTGACTGTGACAAGTTATCCATCAATATCAATAAAACAAGCATTCGTACTATTCGCTGCACCTTACCTGAGATACATACTTATTTATAAATTTCTTGGGCTGAACATATATGATACATGGAAGTTCAAGGACCATACAATAAACTTAAGCAAGAAGGTTGCATCAGGTTACCACGTCCTGCGAGTCATCTCTACAGAACTAGGCTGTTTCTATTCAAGAAGCGTCTATTTTGCCCTCATAGAATTCCCTATTGGATAGGGAATAGCTTTCTGGGGAGTTAGCTCCAGAGGTTCATTTCAAATGATTTTTGTTCTTCAAAAAAGATCTGTCCGATACATGTGTGAAGCTGCTTCCCGGGCTACATGCAAAACTCTTTTCAAAGCTCATGGTATCATAATAGTAGCCTCCTTGTACATTTTGGAAACTATATCTTCAAAAAATTAACATCATTTGTCTTGCGTGATCCACTCGTTTTTTTGTGAAACCCGCATTCACAATATCAATATAGAACTGCCTATTCCCTCGAGCTCCTTAATTAGGGACTCAATTTGAACTATTCAATCACCAGTCAGTCCAAATTAAAGAAAACATGTTGTACAATAGATTCAGAGAAGCGGTCAAAATTCTTCTGGCTGATGGGATTTATTATTCAGTTCAGCAGTATCTACTTTGATGATACTTCCGACTCTTGTTACACTTACGAACTCATATTCATTCGCTTACTCATTTAAATTTTTAGGTTTGCTATTGTATTAATATTTTTTAATTTGTACTAAATTACTCTTCGTCAACCTAAGCTATGTATTTTATATCTTCATTTTTATTCATTTATATTGTTTGTTTGATTTATTTGAATGTTTTTGAAGGATTTTCTCCAGAAATATAACTATTATTATAAATAATTATATGCGATAACACTGGCAGCCTTAAAATTACCATGTCATTAATAAAATTGATTTAATTTGATTCTTATATCGATTCATTTCAGGAAATAATATTTGCAAATACTACTCGAACTAACAATTTTCTCAGATAAATCAACTCTTTGAAATTCAAACTTCATTTTTTAGCATAAAAAAACGACTTGTCCTACGGATTCGTGGTATTATCAAATTGGTTACTCTCATGATATTGGATATAGGATATTCAGAATTCTCAAGATCATAATCGGAACTTAATTGTGTAATAAAACATTTTGAATTCAAATGGAATCGTTATTGTTCTCAATCTAGTGAATACCTGATTGACGATCAGTTATCAACTACCTTCATCAGGTAGGGAAGCAATACAAATACGTGGCTCAAGAAGTAGGTCTTCTTTGATGCATTTCTTTGTAGCCTTGTCATGGCTGCAGAGTAATAATTGCACCCACAAGCCTAGAAGCGTTTTCGTGATCTTCTTGAGAAAGCTATATCTCCCAGGCCGGAATATGCAGCTCTGGATTCGTACTAGTTGGCTATCTTTTGAAATATCCTGTAAGGCGGTCATGATGGTGTACTGAAAAAATGTTTGTGAATTTGTCGATATTGAGGCAAGATTTGAGGCAAGATGCAAGATTTCTACACCAGCAACCTTCCTATATGAGTTCATCTCTGAATCGACTACACCTGACTTAAATCCATCCAAGCAGGGCTTTTCTGTCTCTGGTCTTGGCAAATCATCGTTTGAGCGTGAGCGTTTGAAAACCTACGCCAGAGGAGTTCCTTTCCTCTCCTGCTGCAGATGTTTTTGCTTCTGCTGCCCAAGAGTTTGGTGCAAGTCAGATTCATGAGATATCCTGCTATTGAGAAAGTAATTAAGTCACTTCATGGCTTAACCACCTAACAGGATCAGGAGTTAGAGTGAGAAGCCCCCGTTCTCGATCCTTTGTTGTCGGCGTCCATCTTCTCTGTAGACTCAGGGTTGGAATCTTTGTTACATGATCTAGGATCCTATAACTAGCTAGGAAAAGGGGGTTATTTCACGGCAGGGTCCCGCACTGGTGCATTGTCCTATAAATCGATGTCATGACCTTACCTGCAGATGAAACGATCTTTGCCTTCTTTGGAGCTAGTTCCCTCTTCTGAGTCCACTGTTTTGATTGGGTGTTAAGTGATGGACCCATGTGTCGTCCATGGTTTTCAAAACGACCGAAGAATTCTGCTTTATTGATGTGAAACTTCGCTAAACATTCAACTGAAACATCTTCACGATACTGTTTTTGCTTGACTGTGAGCAAACGCGGCACCCATCTTGCACACAGCACACACATGTCCAAATTTTCATATAATATACGATGTACCGCACTTTTTGAAATGTCTACTAAGTCTGCTAGCTCGCTCACTTTCAGTCGATGATCATTCAGTACTGCTTTGTGGATTTTCTACACCGTGTTGGAGTCGCCACCTCATTTAGTCGACCACTGCGATGCTCATCTTGGCAACTCGTTTAAACTCCGCTACCTAATATTTTAGTGTTGTAAACGAAGGAGCAGACTCGCCTAGAGTAGAATCCAATTCAGCTTCTATATTGGTTGGGCTGAAGCCTAGCAAATGAAAGTAGTTTACCACAAATTCATCGAAAACGTTCGCTATTGATGGCTGCCAAACAGATACTAAACAATGCAGCGTCTTCAAACTTGAAACAAATGCTTTATAGATTGTGTACTTTTTTAAATACAGTGATATTTTTCAAATAACTACCAGCAAGTACTTCTGTGGTCACCCTCTACATTCTAATGGCCTAGACACACACACCTTTGGATGTAACCATCGTTGAGATACCATTCGATTATGAAATAACAGCACCACGAGTGATGTTGAATCAACGCCTTGTAGTGAGCCAATCCTGGAAGATTCTGCCAGAAGTATATAAATCTTCTTGCCATCTTCTTCTTCTTCTTGTTTGGCAAAGCCCAATGCGATGCCAATGACAGGTTCTGGTTCAATGAAGCCACTTGCAGCACCTTAGCACCCTCCTATGCAAAAGAGTTAGCAGCTTCATTGCCTTCCAGGCCAGTATGGCCAGGAATCCAGTCTTCCTATCGAGGAGAGTCGTTTTTGGCAGTTTGCTACCAATTTAGACGTTGCTCGGTAGGAGCCAAGAGCTTTCAACGCCGCTTGACTGTCCGAGAATATTTTTATTGACTTGTGAGTGAGTTTGGATTTATCCAATCTCTCAGCACACAATTCAATAGCGTAAATTTCCGCTTGAAATACTGTCGTATAAGTTCCTAGGCAGGTAGATAACTCTGTCCTGGGTCTGCGACTAAAAACACCTGCACCAGAACCGGAAGGTGTTTTTGATCCATTTGTGAACCAACAACTATCTGCTCTTAATATCTCCTTCTCCCATCCAGCGGTGGTACAAGACGGCGGTTTTGTAAATTATTTGATGAAATCTCACAATAAATTTAGTTAAATCGGCCAATTTCATCACATATTGGAAAATATGGGAAAGTCAAACTGTTCATAAGGGTTTATATGGATCATCTAATAAATCAAAACAAATCGACAAACTATCCGCAATTATTTTTCACGTCTGCTAATTTCAATGACAAATAATAACAAACTTAAGAGGCAATAAAGGATATTATTATTCATTTCATGATTTACATAATTATCGCCAAGGCACTACATGACATTTCCCGACAGTCATAATCCTTGAAATGGGAAGGACCGTCTCTCAACGAAACAAAATTTGAGGGTGGACCGCCGTACAAAAGAAACAATTTATGGTATAATTTGCAGCACATTTCTGTCAGCATGCAAAGTCGCTGAGCAATTTATGAGTTGGCAAGGTTTCTGGGACAAATTTCACGCA